TTCGAAGAGAAGGTCACTTAAATGATCTGCACTATTTATGTACTCACATACAAGATAGACCGTGCCATGATCATTTTAACAACAAGGTCTAAATGTCACTCTATACTTTATTTTATTAAATTAAAAAAAAAATCTTTCTGTATGTTTCTTCTAGTGCATGAGTTATAATAATAAAGATGCGTATTACATCTGTAGGTGACAGGTAAAGAACCTTAGGTGCCTAAAAGTAATTTTACCACAAAGCGTTTTAAAGAGAATATGCTCCTAATTAGGTATTTAAAATCAATAATGACATCAAACAAAATACATTAAGTAAAAACAAACGGCCATAGAACTTAGAGCGGTTACACACAGCTATTTTTAGCAGCGATGCAAATGCGACGCAAACGAGATGCAGTCGCAAATCGTCTACCCTCACACACACGCACGCATTTTAAACAGCGATGGAAACGCGATGCAAGTGCGCGACTGCATTGATACAAACGCGCGATTGCATCGCTACACTTGGGATTTGATTTATCGCGCGTTTGCATCGCAAGTGTAGCAATGCAATCGCGCGTTTCACGAACGCGCGTTTACATCGCTGCTAAAAGTTGACGTGTGTAAACACTTAATGTTTTCTATTATTGCGTAACTTTTTGTACTGTAAAACAATGTTTGTAAAACATCTCAATTTCAAAATGTGGACTTAAGGTCTTTTATCTTTTATTTTTATATCTCATCTTTTATTTTAAGTAATTAATAGGTTCAGGCGTTACTTGCGGAAGTCCATGTTAATAAAAATGGAATAAAATTAATTTGCTATTCGCAAACTCAATGAAGCGTGCAGAATAGCTGCGCTTGCGTTGAATATTTTTTTCATGTAGTTAATTTTCCCATCTTCTCTCAGTATAAAATAATAAACTCAAACACAACTACTGTCATTTCGAGTACATTTTTGGTGGTGGTATTTGTGACTGTAGTTGCGTTTATATTATTTATTTTATGCAGAAGGATGGTGAGAAAAACATGTTCAACTCAAGCGCAGTTGTTTTGCACCTTAAGTGTCGATACCATCTCAGCTCGATTTAATTTGGTTAATTTTGTTTGGATCGAGTGGCTTTATTTCAGAATTAATGTTTTTACAAACGAAATTAAAGCTATTTGAAAAATGTTTTTCGTATAATATACTTGTTCTATTCAGTTCAGCTGAATTGAAAAAAATTGGTATATGTAAAGTACCTATTGAATACAACGGTTTTCTTGTAAAATTTCGAGGTAAGTTTGTGTATTTTTTCTACCATGACAATTTTTAGGAATCGTGTTTTCACACCATATAGTATAATCAGTGCATATCCTCAATTTTACTATATATTTTTTCCAAGGTGGTTGATTTAATATTTTCACTGTTATGCGGAGTCAACAAAAGCCTTATGAGATTGTATAGACTCTTAATGGAGAGCTTCTTCAGCAAAGAAATTACATCACGACTAAATACAATCTTTACGCTGATTGTCAAAATACAATATTTTTTGTAATTGGCAACTCAGGATATATAATGTCCTCAGTTGATACAAAAAATATTCTACAAAATGACCTTTACGGTGTGATACTATATTACAAAATAACAGTTATTATTAAAAGCTAATATGATACGATACCACGTCACAACTAATAATAATAATATATATCGATATAGGCTTACAATCTTTACTGGGTTCGCGGAAAAACAAATTTTTTATACGTTATTTTTATCATACACTTTCATATCCCAAATAAATTAGTCAATGCCTTTGAAAATCGAAGTACTGTGTAGTAGACTTATTATCTTTTTCTGGGTACGTCTTATACACTCGATAATATTAACTCCATTGTGCTATTTAACACAATAGCATTTTCTGCATTGTTTCCTTTATTTTCTCATGCCATATTCTATTGTATTGAAATTAACCAATGACTTTATCTTTAAGGTGCATTGTTAACCATAAGTTTTAACAAATTTAATTCGATTATTCTTTAATATATGTTATAATGAAATCGCACCCTTTATGTAATAAAGTCACATCTGAAAAATTACAACTTTCCGGAACAGAGGTTTAAGGATCTACGAAATTTGTTGGTATCGTTTTTATACTCAACCCGTTCATGAACAGCAATGGCGCGTTTACCGTAAACTTAAACATCCGAATACGGGGTACCTCGTTTCCCTATACGCATCTCATTAAACGTCGTCGTTTGGTCAAAATTTCATCACACCGAAATCCGAATTATAACGAAACGAACGTTAAAAAATTTTTTCCGACAAAAAAAATTTCGACTTTGTTATAGGTTACCTGATTTCCAAGTACTTTCTGTGTAGTTGCTGCCTACTTCTATTCCATAGAGAAGTATAAACAACGTACTGACAATATTCAATGATTCACATATATTGAACACTTTATTTTGAAACAATATAAGCACCACGCCAAGAAAAAACTGACACTTGTGCGCGGTAGTATTTAAGTATTGTCCGTGAAAGGAAGAGTTATGAAATTTCACATATTATACATAATTGGTTTCATGTGGTTCGTATTATTTTTATAATATTTGATAAACGCACTTTTGATGTGTGATGACGGGCTTTATTATACCAAGAATACAAAATAACAATTTGTACTAAATGCGTAGTGGACTCTCAAAGAGTCATGACATAAATTTTGTAATGTGGTCTTTTTAAGTTAGCCACAGCAGGTTGTGGTTATTTTAATAAGTGGAATGGCACGAATAATGTATTCTAGACATTTTATAGAAACCACGAACGTGGACGTTTTCTTCGAGTCTTTTTTTATGACATCAAATGACGGGATGAACAAATCGTATGTAGCCTGGTAGTAAGCGATGCGCTTGTCCAAAGCAATTCTAGTGCCACTCAGAGCTTTAAAAATCGCAAACATTTGAGGGGCACTACCACTGCGCCCTTCACCCTGAGGCGTAAGATAACGACACTTCTGAAAGACTGAAGAAATTGTAGGCATATGGATGCCTACAATTTCTCCCGCATCCTTGCCCTTCAAAACCGGAACGCAGTAATACTCACATTACTACTTGGCGGCAGAAACAAGTGGCAGTTACGTATGATGAACTCTTTCAGAAGGAACTCTACTGCTACTGAAGCTAACAAATATATACAGAAAACAGAGAAGGGCATAGTCCAGCACCCTGTCGTAACGTGCCTGCTAACATAGCGCTAATACGCGAACTCAATGGACTCATTTATTTCACACTGTCACAATATTACAATTTGAAAATCAATGTGGTTCGACTTCGACGCAAAATTAGCCCATTCGCAAAAGACCACTCGCACAGCTTCTTGTACGTATACGTAATTTTCTAATCTAACTCTGTTGTTTATAACACACACTACTACAGTAGTGTTGTTTGCAAATATAACTATATTAGATAGACCCTCTGATATAAAATGTGCCAGATCGTTGAAGAACGCGAATAGCATGTTACGCAATACCGATCCTTGAGGGATACTAATGGTAGTAACATCAGCAGCTGACCTAGTTTTTTGTCATTTGCACTGACCTGAACCGTTTGCTTTCTGTTTGTTAATAAAGACTTTCAATAAATTGTGGGCGGCTCCGTTGACGCCGACATAGCTAATTTTTGTATCAGTAAGTCATCCTCAATCATAACAAACGCCTTTGTTGTATGCATCATTCCCTTTACCACCCTCTCCAACGAGTCAAGTCAAGAGTCGAGATGTGCGCCGATCGTAAAATCGTCGGCGGTAGAGTGATCGGCGTGAAATCAGCGTGACACATATTTTTTTGATGTAATAAAAATACTAAACATTTTTAAATCAGATTTGTATTTATTTTCAACGTATCTTACGTTTTTACTGGGAATTTAATGGGTATATAGGTATTGTTAGTTAAAATAATCAACGTAAAAAAAATTTATAAAAAAGAAACACAAATACAAACCTCTTAATTTAAATCTAGCAGTACTAGTAAGACTTAGAAACGTTTTTCTTTTTGATTTGTAGGAAAATATTTATAGAAATATATAAATAATTAATTAACAAAGAAACTAATGTACTTCGTTAAAATAAAACAAATTTTCGCCACGCCAATTTTACAAGAACGCCGTCAAGTCGGCCATCGGCGGCACACTTGTCTAGTAATGAGTAAACAATTGATATGTTGAACTGGGGTTACATATCATTCACCTACACACTTTCTTAAGAATGATAGAATTCTCATTATTACTTTGTAACCGTAATTTCGATGTAATCATTAAGACAGCCAGGGATCTCGGCAGTTGGTACAGTGCTACCGTTATGAATTAGTCATACACTTTGTAGGTGATTCTTAGTTGGAACTTCATTCACGACTTTCCACATTACCGGTATACATAATCATGGTAATGGAATATCAGACTAATAGATTTTATTAAATCGGAATAATATGCACAACATTACTTAGTATATGTCGAAAGGAAATTATTGTGCAGCTGTAATGCTATAGTTTGGTTCTTTACTCGCTCAGGGTGTAGTGTATTGTACAGTCTCGATATAGAGATTTCCAAAAATTCATATGGTTAGAATTTACTGTAACAAAAAAGTCCACTTCTAATATCAAACGATGCTTGGTCTGCGACACGTAAGGGGCCATTAATATTCCCGCACCGCGCTGGGCATTATTTCTCGCGGAAACCAATATTGATTCCTTATAATCTTGGCACTAGGGCAGGAACAGCTGAACGTTTGTTATTTAATAGAGATTAATACTTTGATGCATCAAGTTAAAAAGCAATATGAATATATTTGAGGAGGTCGTGCTCTTAAATGAGTTGTATAATAATATACATAAGCAATGCATTTCACACGTTTAACCCTATTATGTACATGTCCGACATATTGTTGTTGATAAGCTGATTTATTTATAGACGCTGCTATGAATGAGTTTTCCCTGTAGCAAAGCACAATGTAAGTAAGTAAAGGAGAAATAAAATGGTTTTTCTTTGTTTTCCAGGTGGTCCTTATGCAGCGTTCGCGGGCCGAGATGCGACACGAGGTCTTGCCACTGGTCAGGTATCAGGGGCAGAAGGGGAGTACGATGACGTCAGTGACCTCTCTCCCGATGAAGTTGCCTCTGCTAAAGAATGGGAGGAGCAATTTAGAGGTACCCAAATAATCAAGTTTTATTTGTTTTAAAGTCTATCCGACGCCGTACATGGTACGAGGCAGCATTCTATCGGAAAGGCCGATGTCCGACAGTAAACTTTGAACTTGATCTTAGATATAGGTCTGTTTCCGGTGGTGGGACTTTCATACACAAATTCTACTACCATTTCGTAAAATTTACTTCTTCATAAAGAAGATCAAGAAGATCAAATTTTATTGCCCTTAGCTATTACGAACATCACTATATTCAGTCATTCACACACTCATTTCTATTTTTGTACATGTAATATTTTTTTCGATCTTCTATCATCTTCATCCAGTCAAATTACTTAATTTTCAAACCTCTTATATATGTGGCCTAAGGATCAGCCAATTTTCACTTCGCATTTCCGCTAATCACATCTGTTAGCCTTAACTTCTTTCTGATCTATTTCTTGGTCTTGCAATAAATAGATTGAAATCCATTAAACTTCTCATTACACTTTTTAGTGAAAAACACGACGTCAGCCCCCAAGGGTCTCATATATCTGTTGGATGTGATGTATCTCAAAAACACAGGATTGAGACTGTGTTTTGAGATATGAGAGCGGCAAGATACATTACTCCAAGACTTTGACCTTAAACTAGACAATACCTAAACGACATTACAGTATTTAATAGATAACTTTCGTAACATGATTCAATTTAATTTAGTTCAACAACACTACAGAAAACACGTTCAATCTATTCTTAATTTTAATTGATTGCTAAGTTGATATGCAATGAGCAGGCCGCTTGTTGAATCTTATGTGATTATATGATCTTAAGATTAAGGTAATGTGATCTTATGTGATGTGATTTTTCTTCTTAGTGCTATAATTATTATGATTTTCATATAAAGTATGAGAAATAGATGAAATACGATAGTTTCCCAAGCTGAAAAGTTATGTGACATAAGTTTTTTTGGGGAAATCTATTTTAATGAATACTGTAGTTCAAAAAGCGGTGATTTCAATTTCAAACTTCATTTGATTACCTTTTGAATAAAGACAATTCGAATTTCTTCTTGTCCATTTCCCAGCATCTAGTGTCAAAAAATTGTTTGTAAGTACACAGAGTACCATTGATTGATTGATTTATTAACATAATCGCAGTACAGAGCACTAAAAAACTGATCTCTAAAGTCATTCATAGTTTGCCACCCTTAGAGGTGGAATATTTTCTTCAAATTTAAATGGTCAAATATCTGAGGTGCCCTCTTTCCAACAAAAAAAGAATCATCAAATTTTTGTATGTATGTTATGCGGAGTTATCGCATAACATACATACAAAAAAACATACAGTCGAATTGAAAACCTCCTTCTTGTTTTGAAGTCGGTTAATAACACTATTTAATGATTGTCAATTGTACATGGTTATTTTTAAATTGTATTAACATGACATTGGTATGATTATTTTTATTAACTGCCTCCGAGGCCGAACGTTTGCAAGACTGGTCTGCCACGCAGAGTTCCGGGTTCGATTCCCGGGTCGGGAGAATATTTGTATGGCCTGCATTTATTTGTCTCGTGAGTTTGGGTGTAATTTGTGGCTGTCTATGTGTGTGTCCATGGTACACGCGATACAGTATTTTCCTAGTGGGGCTATGAGTGTAAGCGTTATTATTATTATTATTTCTTTGTAACGTTTTAGGACACGGGAATAATTATAATGTCATAGAACAATTTTATTGTTGTTTTAATAATAAGGATGTCTGTGTTCATTAATTATAGGATATATAAAAATAGCCCCTTATGTACTATAGTTATCGCCATGAATTATTCAGTTATTATAAAGTTATTGTATTTCTTCTTCTTTATGACCTTCGTTCACTCTTGTCGGAGGTATAATTAGCAAACTATCTTTGTTCAGCGCCTTAATATTGTGTTTCGATACGACACAACATTAATTGCTCCCTTAACTGATCTAAATAATTACGCAATAATGTATTTGTATGATAAATTTATTTTACAGAAAAATACGACATCGTGGGACGTCTCCTGAAGCCCGGTGAACAACCAACTGTGTACAGTGACGATGAGGCCGAACCTGTGGAAAAGAAGACACAATAAAATTAAACAACACTACAAGTTTTTGCCGCATTTGCAATTCAAACTACATAGAAAGTAATTTTACATGTTAAGTGCTTGTTACTCGTTGTAAATTTTGTGTCATATTTATGTGAGCTTATGGATAGTGGTGATCAGAATCTTTTGAAAAAAGACACTCACTTTATCTTTAAAGTAGTTCATTTCATAAGAATGTAGTCAACCTGTCTGTAATTTACATAATTTCTTTATTGTTTTATTATTGTTTGTGTTCAAGTTTTTATATAACAATGCAAGTTTAAATAGTAATATTATCAATCGATAGTAAATTTATATCATTTGACACGCTCTAATAATTTACCCACTTAAAGTAGTAAGTGCAATAATTAGTAAGGATTATTTTCCCACAGGTCCCACTCAACAGTGGGGTATCATTAAGACGATAAGGGATTATCTTGGAAATAAGCAAACCAATAAAGAATTAACTAAATAGTAATAATAAATTTGTGCTCGTATGAAGCAGTTGACACCATTTAAAAGAATGTTAAGAAAAAAATTTAGGTGATTTTTTTTAAAATAAATATAAGGTGGTATGTATATTTTACTATGTTTTAATTTTTGAATAAAATGTTGAAATGTAAACGAATCTAATTGCGATTGTATAGTTATTCTCCAAACGAAATATAAAATTTTATATCACCAGACTTTTGTAAATATCTGCTGTGGGATCGGAAATCTTGGTCATGCATCCCTTTATGGAATATCTATCAGGGGAGCTGCTCACATTGATATTCTCTAGGTATCCCACGATCATATCCGCACATTTCCTTGGACCCATCTCGATGTCTATTGAGACCCTTTTTCATTTAGATTTTGGTTACATTCCATACGAAAATTCAAACACTAGGCGTATTTTTTAAATAAAATATTGTCACTGTCATAGTATTAAGCGCATGACCACATTCTGTACGTACGAAAATTTCGCTCTACGAAAATTATGATCTCATTTAATAACATGAGCCGGAGTATTTAAATCCACGTTTGTGAAACTGTAACCAAATAAACAAAAGCTGACTGACACGAAGTGTTTAAAGCCAGAGATAATCTGCGACTGAAATTTAATAAACAAAAAGGAAATAATAAATCTCCTGTGTTACAATGAAACTACTATCAATTTGTGTTGTATTTGATTTGATAAAATTGGTTTAAACAGCATTATGGTGTTATTAACATTAACATCAAGAGTACGCGACAGGTGACAAAGGTAGTGATAGAGATACTCTGTGTGTATAATGCACGACAGTTGGGATATTGGCCGGATTTTGTACTTTGGAAATCGGTACTAACCTTTTTAGTCAATGAACTATATTTTCATTAAACTTTCTTTGTGGTAAGTGACATGCCTGCCAATAACAGTTGCAGTGCCAATCAGAGTTTAATTTGAAAAGATCTAAGGGGCACTGCCATTGCTCCCGTCGTCCCGAGACATGGTTGACAAGTCCCGTTGCTTAGGCAAGAATGTGTCGACGATTTTCTCTTGAATAAAAGTAGTTGCTTGATATTACAGAGCTTTAATTTCTTGAAAAATGTATTGCATTATTGAAATTACTTTTTTTTTTATAGACACCACCAATACAAAAATAAAAAATAGTTACTAAACAATGAGAGCAATGACACTTCACGGAGTTAGAACCGTACGCGCTCTGAGGCGTAGACATCCTCCCCTCTGTTGAATGATCTAAATTCTTCAACCCTGTAGATGGTCAGTTGAAGGCAGACGGCACAGTTGAACTAGAGGATGACGTATGCAGCCCTTCGTAGTACGGACTTCAGAAACTCTTGGAATACCACCAGGCCCAGGGAATAATTGCGTAACTCTTCCCATGCGGCAATTAAGTGCAGGGTTGTTCTCTTCCTTAATTAGCACGAAATCTCCAACGTTGATTGTCATTTTCAATGTCTTTTTTAGTTCTCTGCTGCAATTTACTGATGTACTTTCTTTGCCATTTTGTCCAGAAATGCTGAAGTATTTGCTCTAGACGAGCATAGCGATTTAGAGACGTCTCCTTGAGGTTTTCTAGTGCAGCTAAAGGAAGAGCGTTCGAAGGCCTTCTTATTAAAAAGTGCCCAGGGGACAGGGAAAGGAGATCATCCGGTGAGAAGGACATAGGATATAGGGGTCGGCTATTTAAGATTGCCTCCACTTGTGCCAATAACGAATTAAATTCTTCGAATGTAAATGAGTATTTATCAGTATTTCCCATCACACGTTTAATGTCAAATTTTGCGGATTTAACCCATGGCCTCCTATATTCCACCAAAGTGGGGAGCGTAAGCCGGTATAAAGTTTAAGTTAATTCCCTCCTGAGCTGCAAACTCAGATAGAGATTTATTTTGTTGTTTTAAAAAATTTAATAACTCATTCGCGGATGCCACAAAATTTCGACCATTGTCGGAAAGCACTTCAGCTGGCTTGCCGCGACGCGCAACAAACCTACGAAACGTCATTACATGAGTTTCTTTTGGTAGGTCCGAAACTGCCTCTAAATGCACGCAATTAAAACGTAAGCAAATAAAAAGACACAAATAGCACTTTACCAATTTTGCATCTCGACCTTTGCGGTTTATGATATAAAAGGAACCAGCATAGTCGACTCCAACTAATCTAAATGGAAAATCGACTGACACACGATTTATTGGTAAATCACCCATCTTGGGGAAAGTGTTTCACCGCGTTCACGAGCGCAAGTTTTGCACACCTTCACGACACTCCGGGCAAGTTTTCTGCCATTAATAGGCCAAACAGTTTCTCTGAACGTCGCTAGCAACAATTGAGGTCCAGCATGGAAATTTCTTACATGTTCGCGCACGAACAATAGTATTGTCATGTAATGAGAAGAATCAAGGGTGAACCAATAGGGAACCAATATGGTGCTTCTTTTGGAATGGATCATTGGATGAATCAATTCGTCCACCAAGTCTAATTAATGAATTTCATCCATAAATGGTGATAAGGGTAAAATATTTTATTTACTATTCAACGGTTTTTTATCCTTTAATTTATCATATTCTGTTTTAAAACTTTCAAGTTGTGTATAATAATAATAATAATAATAATAATACTTTATTTCAGAAAAAGTTTCCATAATTTGTTAGTAAGACTTAGCAACTATGTTAGTAGGTACTTATTTAAATTACATTACATTTGAATTACATCAAATAATATGCAATTACTTAATGTAAACTACACCTATGACTCTTTGCATTAGATGCCCTAGCAAGGGACTATCGAACCGGTTCACGAGTGTTATCAGTATGCTGTTCCGGCTACCACGCACACGGTGAAGAAAAGAAGCGGCCTTCTTTCGCATTATAGCGGGAAAGCCATTCAAGCATGTATGAGTTTACAAATTAAATTAAATTAAATGCATTGTTATATTCTTTGGGTTTTAAAAATGATTGAAATTATTGTGTTTTTAGGATTTGCGTTATGCAAAAAGCGCAAAAAGAAAGCTAACACTCTTTGTACTGCTGTAACAGTTGAAAATAGTTTAAAATCAATTAGTACTTTTACTGTGAAGACAAGTAGTGTCTTACCTTCACATAAATTTTCGATTTTTGCATTATTGCTCAAACCTGGCCAATTCGACTCATTTTGGGATAAGTATTGCGGACCTGACCACCACAATTCCATATTTGAAAGTTGACTGCCGTTAACACCGCGATATTAAATCAGCGGGATTGCAATCAGTTGGAGCACAGCGCCAAGATCTGGGATTAGTCAATTCTAGAATTTCACCTACCTACTCTGTTAGCAACAAATTGTTTTAATTTGTTGGGATTGCTGCTAATCCATGCCAAAACCACACTCGAATCGCACCAGTAAAAATACGAGTGGGAACGATTCTTAGAGATTAAAGGACACAAACACACAGCCGAGCGGCCAACAGTGCGGCGCACATCTCTAAGCGGGGTATTGTTCTTGTTGAAAGGTGCAACCTTTGACAAGTCTGTAAATTTTACAGTGATAATGTTGTCACTACTCACTGATCGTCGGTAAAAGCAAGCGCCATAAGCGATTTGGGATGCGTCACTAAATGTGTGTAATTTTATAAATACTGGAGAATCATACAGAACCCTGCGTGGTATTTGCAGATTTGCAAGTAAACGAAGGTTATCAGATATTTCGCACCATTTCTCCTTGATATCTGAAGAAACTGATTCGTCCCATCCTATACCCTGTAGCCATAATTTTTGTAAAAGCATTTTAGCTTGAATGATGCAAGGGCTTAGTAGACCCAGGGAATCGTAAATTCGAAATGAATGAGAAATTATGACTCTTTTTAACCGACTTAAAAAAGGAGGAGGTTCTCAATTCGACTGTATGTTTTTTTTGTATGTATGTTACGCGATAACTCCGGTATTTGTGAACCGATTTTCATGATTCTTTCTTTGTTGGAAAGGGAGTACTTCCACAGTGGTCCCATTTCATTTTGAAGAAAATCATCCACCTCTAAGGGTGGCTGTTCACGCATGAAGATTCATTTTCATAAATAGTGCCTAAATTTTATAAAGGAGCAATTATTTTAATGGTCGATTTTGTTACTTTTCCCAATTGAAGGCGTTTTTCTCTCCATATACTTTGAGTAGTAAGAACCGATTTTTATTATTTCCAGTGTCAAATCCTGTATAGTGGCGAATTTAAGGATATTTCAATAAAACTTAGCAAATAGACGTAATTCCACGTACTTTTGAGGCCGGTTTTTTTAGTACTTTGTACTGAGATTATGATGATGTGATATCAATCTCAAGTGTGATTTTGTTAGGAAAATTACAGGTATCTTGTGTGTTAGGACCTATTGTATGTTAGGACCTACTACCAAATGTCATTGAGAGAGTAACCAGAAGTAGTGGGAGCGGAGCCGTCCAACACTACTCTAATCTTAGTTGACTCCGACTTTAAAAATTACCACGTAACTTAAAAAATATGATGGCTCGGGTATTCGTACAGGTTATTTGGATAAATGACCCATGTCATGATATTCACGAATAAAATCGACATATTGTCTCTTTAATACAACTATAATATTTAACTGTCTCAATGGCCGAACGGTTACCACGAACGGTTACCGTGTCCCAGGTTCGATTCCCGGGCCGGGAGAAATATTTGTATTGCCTACGTTATTTCTCTCGTGACTTTGGGTGTAATTTGTGGTTGTCTATGTGTGTGTCCATGGCACCCGCGACACAACAACATAGCTGTGGGGTTTCCTAGTGCGGGGCTATGTTAAGTGTGTGCGTTATTATTTTTTATTAACATAGGATCTTTTCGACATCTCTTTTTTAGGTGTAGAAGTCTTTTTTTAGCTCGAAAATAAGAATCTCCGTGGCAATCAGGAGAGTCCTTTAGAGGAGGAGGTCACACAAAACCTTCCATCAGGAGAACGAGTTATAGTCATTTTGAAATGCTTTTCACAAGCAAAGTCGATTTTGCTGAGAACTATTGTCTGAGGAAGTTCTTCGAGCTCCCAGAATTTAGTCATAATTTCATCAACTTTAGATGTTGAATTAATTGTTACAGTAT